GGAACACTTGAATTATGAACCCCACTCTAACCAAAACGGGATGAACAGTCGTCAGCATTCTCAATCATAAGAGGTAAAAACACAAACAGAAACTTAAGAAACAAAGTAAAAGACGGACCTTAAAATGATGTCCTCTCCGATTGTAGTAATAATGTGTGAATAAGAGCTAAAGCCGGAACTTGGCCGGAAAACCTCGTCGGCACCCTCGAACCTAAATGACGCTACTACCACAGCAATGGCGACACTGGAGCAACAGTCGATGCGACACACACAAAGAACTGCCAGAGAACTAACTCCGGCCAAACTCGACACAAGACATCACAAAATCCAGGTCTTGAAAGATCTACACCCATCCGACATGGAAGTAAAACTCACGGGAACAATGGTGATGAAACAGTGGGCTATTTTCTACTCGTTCATCGTCAACGATGCGACTCCAACGATACAAAGGCAGTAGAGGGTGGAACGGTAGCAGTGTGTGTGTGTGTGCTCGCCGGTTTCAATGGTAGTCGCTAGCGGAAGGTCCAGCGATGGGCTGGTGCGGGGGTGGGCTGCTATGGTGGTGATGGGGCTCGGCGATAGGGTTTGTGCTCGTTGGGTCGCTGGTTATTGTGTCCGATGTGTGAAGTGATCGTTTCCCGACGACGGTGAGCTGAAGGGTGGTTGTCGATGGAACTGGTGTACGTTGGTGACTGGTTTTGGCTGGTCGTTGGGATGATTGGAGAAGATGGCGGAGGGTTGGGGTCGTTTTTGTAGAACCAGGGCTGTTTGGAGAAGATGACTCGCAGAGGGGGGGTCGGTTTTCTCGTGTGTTATTTTAAAGAAGATGATGCGCAGCCTTTTAGCTGCTGCTTCTTTTCGTTCCTTTTAGCCTTCTTCGTTCTTTTTCGTTCCGATCCCTTCGTTATTTATGCGCAGCTTTTTCTTTTGCCTTTTGTCCGTTTTTTTTTGTTCGTTGTTTTTCTATTTATATAGTCTAGGTTTTGGTAGGGTTTTAGGTTAAGGGGTATGGGCCTAAGAATTATGGGCTTGGCAATTGTGGGCTAGGTCCAAAATTAGGCCTAAAAATGGGTTGCTCGAGCCCAAGTTCTATTCTTTCGCTGCGAACGAGATTAAAAATACGGGCTCATTTATTAATTAATCCTACTATTCAAATAATTATTAAAATAAAACTAACCATTAAAACAAATCTATTTTTTGTATTTTCAAATATCATATTAAAATAAAAATACGATACTATTGTTGTATATATTTTTTTAAAGATTTTTTTTAGATAAAAAATGACTACAAAACATTAATGAACCTATTTTTGTGATTTGTTTTCTTGTAATAAAATAAAGTAAAAGAGTCAAAATTACTTAAAATATCTATATTATTCCTAAATTAAATATTTATGCGCTAAAATATGAAAAATCTTGGGGAGGGTCAAAAATCACATGTCTACAAGCATGATTAGATGAAGTAGCTACAATTGATTGCTTAGTCGATCGCCAAGATTTGGCAGTGCCTCCACATGTAAACACATAGCCTGTTTGAGATCGAGCCTTGTGTGGATCGGATAAATACCCAGCATCGGCATAACCAACAAGATCAGGACTGCAATTATTGCCATAAAATAAGCCTATATCGGTAGTTCCTTTTAGGTACTGCAATGTGTGTTTGATTCCATTCCAATGTCTCCTTGTAGGAGCAGAGCTATATCTTGCTAAGACATTAACTGAAAAGGTTATGTCAAGCCTTGTAATATTAGCAAGATACATTAGTGCACCAATTGCACTAAGATATGGTACTTTAGGACCAATTAGCTCTTCATTCTTTTCTTGAGGTCGGAATGGATTCTTATTCACATCAAGTGATCGAACAACCATCGGAGTACTTAATGGATGTGCTCCATCCATGTAAAACCGTTTCAATACCTTTTCTATGTAGGCAGATTGATGAACAAAAATTCCGTTTGCCAAATATTCAATTTTCAAACCAAGACATAATTTTGTCTTTCCAAGATCTTTCATCTCGAATTTCTTCTTTAAATAATCAATTGCCTTTTGGAGTTCTATAGGAGCTCCAATAAGGTTTATGTCATCAACAAATATGGCAAGTACAACAAATTTCGATGTTGTTTTCTTTATAAAAACACATGGGCAAATATCATCATTTATATAGTCTTCCTTTAATAAATACTCACTAAGACGATTATACCACATTCGTTTTGATTGCTTTAGACCATACAACGATCTTTGCAATTTGATTGAAAACATTTCCCGGGACTTTGAATTATTTGCTTTAGGCATTTTGAATCCCTCGGGAATTTTCATGTATATCTCATTATCAAGTGAGCCATAAAGGTAGGCAGTAACCACATCCATTAAATGCATGTCAAGCTTTTTATGGACAACAAAACTAATGAGATAACGGAACGTTATAACATTCATAATGGGTGAATATGTCTCTTCATAATCGACACCAGACCTTTGTGAAAATCCTTGTGCAACAAGGCGTGCCTTATATCTTTGTACCTCATTTTTCTCATTCCTCTTGCGTACAAAGACCCATTTATAGCCAACAGGCTTAACACCATTAGGTGTTTGGACTACATGCCCAAAAACTTCACGTTTTGCAAGTGAATTCAACTCTGATTGGATTGCTTCTTGCCATTTTGGCCAATCACGTCTTTGTCGACATTCTCCAATAGATTGAGGTTCAAGATCCTCACTATCTTGCATAATGCTAGATGCAACATTATATGCAAAGACATAATCCACCACTATATCCACTTGATTTAAATTTATCTCAATATCCATTGGATTTATTGATAGTTCCTTATTTTCTTGAGTCTCAGGCTCAGTGGTTTCTTCATGAATCTCATAATTTATTAAATCGTGGATTTCTTCGCGAGACTCTTTCGTAATGTCATCTTGATCATTTGTTTTCCTTTTTCTAGGATTTCGATCCTTAGAACCTAATGGTCTGCCACATTTTAGGCGTGCTTTTGACTCATTAGCTATACCACTAGAAGATTGTCCAACAGGAACATCAATACGGATTAGAACATTCTCTGCAGGGATATATAATTTTGTTATCCTTTTCAGATCCGTAAATGCATCTGACATTTGGTTTGCTATTTTTTGTAACTGAATAATTTTTTGCACCTCCTTTCACAAATAGAGGCACGCAGATCAAGATGAGACAATGATGATTTTTTCCACAAAATTTCCCATTTGGTTTCACCATTTTCTCCCCCTAATTTTGGGAAAAGTGTCTCATTGAATCGACAATCTGCAAATCGTGCAGTAAACGGATCCCCCGTTAATGTTTCAAGATAGCGAATAATGGAGGGCGATTCAAACCCAATATATATTCATAACCTTCTTTAGGGTCCCATTTTGGTGTGATATGGCGGTGCTACAGGCACATATACTGCGCATTCAAAAATTCTTAAATGGGATATATTAGGTTCATGACCTAGAACTAATTGCAACGGGAAATATTTATGATAATTTGTCGGTCTGAGACGAACTAGCATTGCTGTGTGCAAAATGGTGTGACCCTAAACAGAAATGGGTAACCTCGTTTTCACAAGTAACGGTCTTGCTATCAATTGCAAACGTTTAATTAAAGACTCTGCAAGGCCATTTTGAGTGTGAACATGAGCTACAAAATGTTCCACTTTTATCCCAATTGATAAGCAATAATCATTAAATGCTTGGGATGAAAACTCAGCAATATTATCAAGTCTAATAGACTTAATTGGATTATCGGGGAATTGCGCCCGTAATCGCATTATTTGTGCCATTAATTTTGCAATCGCGAGGTTGCGTGATGACAATAGGCACACATGAGACCATCTAGAAGATGCATATATTAAGACCATGAAATATCTAAACGACCCACTAGGTGAGTGAATAAGTCCACAAATGTCCCCTTGTATACGTTCCAAAAACGCAGGGGACTCAATCCCAACCTTTATTGGTGATGGTCTAATAATTAACTTGCCTTGATAACAAGAAGTGCAACAAAATTCATTATTTAAAAGAATCTTTAAATTCTTTAATGGATGCCCATTTGAGTTTTATATAATTCGTCTCATCATAATTGATCCAAGGTGTCCCAATTGATCATGCCAAAGTACAAAAGTATTGGAATCAGTAACTTTTTGGTTTACAATATGTGCCTCAATTGCACTAATTCTTGTCCAATACATGCCACAAGATAAAGATGGAAACTTCTCAATAACCCTCTTTTGGCCAGAGACATTCTTGGTAATGACGAGATATTCAAGATTATTCTCATCTATTGTCTCAATATGATATTCATTTCGTCGGATATCTTTAAAACTCAACAAGTTCCTCTTGGACTTGGAACAACATTGCATTCTATGATAAGTATTGTTCCTTTAGGCAGAGCTATAGTAGCTCTTTCGGAGCCTTCAATTAGATTATTAATACCAGAAATTGTAGTAACATCTGTCTTACACATACTTAAATAAGCGAAATATTTCTTCTCTTTGAATATTGTATGTGTCGTACATGAGTCAATTGAATTGTGATCCAATTTTGCTTTGAGAGATATCCATATTTGCTTGTATTTAAAATCAAATTATAGAATGTCAAGAATTTAAAAGAGAAAATTAAAGTAAAATACTTACCTTAAATTCAGAATTTAATCATGAAGTAAGTTCATGGAACAATTGACAATCATTATGCTCAATCCCTAAGCTTCTACTCAATTGGTTAGAGTCTCGTGCTGATAATGTGTTATGAAATAATAAAAGAAGAAGAAGACTATTATAGAGAAAAGTAGGGAGAGAGAATTCTTATTAAATTTGGGATGAATTACAATAGAATAGAACTCTCTATTTATAGGGAGAGGGTGACTTAGCCACCAAATAATAAACTTGTGATATTCACCGTAAATAAAATTCTATTTATAACTAATATTAGGGAGTTTTTTCTTTTTCTTCTTTTCCCTCTTCAATCTTTTTCCAGTTTCCCTTTTTCCCTAAATCCACTTCCGGAGAACAGGGAAAAAACACAGGAGTGAAAAAGGACAATGAAAACACCAAACACGTGATGAACGATTATAACTACGGTTGGTGAAGGAGATTAATTAAGAAGACAACATCTCGGCCTTAAAAATACTCGCCACGTTATTAGCCGAGTCCAAATTTTGACTTTCAGCTAGCTCAAACTCAAAGCCAGTACATACTACAACTCGGCAATGATTGGTACACGTATGTCCTGATAACAAGGCTACGTTTGTGCAATTTCATTGATTATTATTCTGGCCCAAAAAAACAAAAAGAAGAAGAAGCAGGGGGAGGGTGCTGAATGCTGAGAACTGAGAACTGAGAATTCACGGCGTTGACTCCAGAATTCTCCCTCCGTTTGATTCTCAGTTTGTTCGTTTTCTTGATCATTACCTGAATCTGCTACTTGGGCGTGTCAATTCTATGCCAATTCTGCTTTCTTTAGGTATTGCAACTTGTTCAATAGCCCACTAGCCCTAAGGTAGATGGACTAATTCAGCTAATGTTTAATGTTGCAGAGCTAAATCTGTTTATCTTTTTACTGCTCTTTCCGTTTTCTCCTCTCCTCTTTTCCCCTATTCATAGTTCATGTTACCGGGTACCAATGAAATGTGAAAAAGGCTCTATATAGAATCAAATTCTTTTATTTTCAACATTTTTGACCTTGGTTTAACCGGTAAAATTGCTGTCGCGTGGGAGGTCACGTGTTCGAAAACAGTTTCTTGCAGAAATGCAAGGTAATACTGCATACAATAAACCTCTGTGGTCTGGCCTTTCCCCGATTTATTCTTGATGCATGTAGGACTTGCATAGTTTTAAATTTGTTTAGTTAGAGATAATTGTAAGATTCTCTAGTTTTAGCACCAATTTACCTCTAAATAAGATACAAGGCATCTCTAGTTTTAGCAAACTCCCAATTTAACTCTGAAGACAATTCGGTAATGCTGGAATGAAATGAGCTCAATTGTAATTGGAGTGGATATAAGAACTTCATATAGCCAACCCTAACTAGCTTTCTCAGTTTTTCTTTTACAAAAGAAAAAAGGACCCAACTTTTAACCAAGTTGATTGGTTGATATTTGTTTATATGATTGTGAACTACTCATCTAAGTTGTGGGCCTTGTGGCATTTATGCCAAGACATCTTTGAACTTATAATCTGCTATCTTGACATTGCAGATTTTTCCTTGCCTATGTTGGTTATATACTCAAGGGCATTCTTTCTCAATGGTCTGATGCATAGGCTCTAAGCAATAATGTCGGTTCTCTGTGGTTTACCCCCTCTCCTTGAATGTGTATACTGTGTAGCATGTGCCCGCTGGGCATGGAAGCGATGCCTCCACAGTGCAGGACATGACAGCGAAACTTGGGGCCTTGCCACAGCTGAAGAATTTGAACCTGTCCCTAGGCTCTGCCGATACATATTGGCCGTATACGAAGATGATCTTAGACAACCTCAGTGGGAACCACCTGAAGGATATGGGATTAATCCAGATTGCTTAATTGTGAAGAAAAACTATCCAGATACCGGTGGCCGAGTACCACCATATCTCTTATATCTGGATCATGAACATGCTGACATAGTTCTTGCTATTAGAGGTCTTGATTTGGCAAAGCACAGTGATTATGCAGTCTTGTTGGACAATAAGCTGGGTCAAAGGAAATTTGATGGTGGGTATGTTCACAATGGGTTATTAAAAGCGGCTGGATTGGTGTTAAATACAGAATGTGAGATCTTAAGGCAATTGCTGGAGAAACATCCGAACTATACCTTGACTTTTACTGGACATTCACTAGGGTCAGGTGTAGCAGCATTATTGACATTGGTAGTAGCACAAAATCGTGACAGGCTGGGCAATATTGACAGGAAAAGAATCAGATGCTTTGCTATTGCACCAGCTAGATGTATGTCATTGAATCTAGCAGTGAGATATGCAGATGTCATCAACTCCATTGTGCTTCAGGCAAGTTCCTGATATTGTTCTCTTAATCATCACTTTGAACATTCTTAATATTTAGTTTCAAGGCATTGTTAATTTAATCCTCTCTGCATAAATAAGCAGATCATGTCCTTTCTTCTGCCTGTGTACTCTCCATCCTTCTTAGAAGGGGAAGTTGATTTATTGGCTTTGGAATTTGTACCTAGAAAGCAAGGAGCTTGATTTGTTATAGATAATTGTTGCAGATGTTTGCATTATATCCCTTCTCTATTTTGATGTCAATCATCGATATGTCGCCTGACCTTTTGGACTTCCTTTTGATGTTTTTCTCCAATTGTGCTGGTTGCAAATTCTCTCAATCTAACTCCATCTTCTTTTTCTTAAATAGGATGATTTCTTGCCACGGACAGCAACTCCCTTGGAAGACATATTCAAGTCACTGTTCTGGTAAAAGATAGTTGAATTTGATCTTGTACTTGCTTTCAAGAGTCCATTCCCCCATTTAGAAAAAGAACGTCTGGTTCCTCATTTAGCAACTCCTGTAAGAGGCATTGGATGGGTGGTGTCCCATCAACTAGGAAGCTTGAGTTCTTCTCTTTTTGTTTCTGCTTTCAGGTCTTGTTCATCTCCTCTTCATTCTGATATTAGTAAAACTTTCTGTTTGTGTCAAAGTCCAATTTAATATTAAAAAGAGACAGAATCATGTTTTTGTAAAAGATAGGAAGGCACTACATAGTAGGGATGTGATTGTTCCTGCATTAAGATGAAATTTCGTACGGCAGTCATTAAGTGGAGGCTCCAATAATATAAATCCTCTTTTAGATGGTGATGTTTACTATTCATGACTAACCACATTTATTTTCTTTCGCTTATTTTTTTTTGCAGTTTGCCATGCCTATTATGTCTGAGGTGCATGAGAGATACGTGCATCTCAGAAGAGAAGATGCTCAAAGATCCACGCAGACTTTACGCCCCAGGACGCCTTTACCACATTGTTGAGAGGAAACCTTTTAGGTATTTTCAGACTTAAGGATGTGCTACATGAAATTGTCTTAAGTCGTTTATACACAACTCCATCAATTAAACAAGTTCTATGATGGTGGTTCCGTATAATAAGCCAATATTGTTATGTTTCTGTTTTGAGTAAAAGCATCTAGTGCGGCAGGTTTCCCATAAAAACCACAATAGCGGTTTACATACTGCATAGTACATGCAATCTATAAGGATACCATTTGATCTGCAGTATTTTTCTAGTCTACTATTAGGCACATGATTTGAACTCTGACTCCTATACTACCATGATTCTGTGTTAAAACAGATGTGGACGATTTCCCCCTGTTGTGAGGACTGCAGTTCCAGTGGATGGGAGATTTGAGCACATCGTTCTCTCTTGTAATGCTACTTCTGATCATGCAATTATCTGGATAGAGAGAGAAGCACGAAGGGCCCTCGAAGTAAGTTGTGTGCGCTTTTGTCTATGACGATTGATGGATTCTGATATAATTGTCTTTGCACTTTACATCGTTGTAGCCGTAGCTTTACTTCTAATGTGCCTGCTCAGCTGTAGCCTATCTGGAATGAATTTTCAATATATTCTTGGTTTTTGCGCATGCCGGCTGCTTTATGCAGTAGACACAATCACAGAAATAGAAATTTTACTGCTGCACTTACTTTGAATGGTGATGGTTCAACGTTAAAACTAGCACAAACATGTTCTCACTCATGGGCTCTCCACCTTATTTCATTGATGGCGTTGTCTGTACCCAGTCCACCCGTGTGAGGCACTTATGATCTACTTTCATTGTCAGTTAAGATAGTTTCAGTGGTAATCCTTCTTGTCACAAGTTCATCACTCTTAAGGGTGGTTGAATACGAATTGCAGCTCTATTGATAAAGAGTGGGTAAACTTTTTTATTGCACAAATCGTCCATGCCTTTCACTTTATTAGTTGTTTCTGCATCAAATAGAGAAACTTAAAGCAGAAAAGCATGGTTGTGTCCATTGATTCCTGTAGTCTGTGGATTGATGCATTCTTACAAGGTAAAAGGTTCAAATGTGTCCATGTAGTATCCGTAATTGCTCAACTTTTCCTGCGGCTAAACCTTTGGTCCATACATACCCTTGCTTTGCTGTTAGCAAGTATTTGCCCTTGCCATTAGTAGAGCTCCAGCGTAAAATGGGTGGACTCCACGTGTACAAATTCTTCGAGCAAAAATGTCCAAATTAACCCCTCAACTTTTGACTATGGTTTAATGCCTTCAGGCTGGAGCTTTCTTAGGGGGTTAAGGCAAAAATGAAACTTTGACTTAACACCGGGAAAAAATTAGACCAAAAGTCTAATGGAGGGCAAAGTTGCTCAATTTCGGACAATATAGGGGCAAATTTGACCCTTATCCCTTTGTAATATGTATTGTTAATGTAGGTGCATTGAAGAATTTATGCAACTTATATGCCCTTTGGAAATATAGAGGATTCATATTGTCAAACCGAGTAGCTTGTCATTGATGCATAGCTTATTGATTGATTTATAACATATTTAAATATTTATGGGGAGCTTTGGTAGTCATTCATTTAGCTTATGCAAATATTGTTGAATTCACTTATGGCTAGTTGTTCGGGCTTGAAATATGAGGGTAATTTGGCTTGAACATACTTTAAATGAATGACCTGTATCGTTTGATCCCCCTATTTGTCAGTTGGGAATTGGGATTCAATTTAATTGTAAAATGGATCTGCAACTCTATTCTATTGATGTGGTCCACAAGAGTTCTTCTATGTATCCTGGTTACATACTTACATTGTAAGTATTTAAACTTAAATTGGTTCTGACAACATTCATATTTGTTTTATGCATCCAGTTGATGGAAGAGAGAGATCATGTGATGGAAATTCCAGCTAAGCAAAAGATGGAGCGTCAACAGACGTTAACTAGAGAGCACGGCGAGGAGCATAAAGCTGCTCTACAGAGAGCTGTCACCTTGGCTGTTCCACATGCATTTTCACCTTCTCATTATGGAACTTTTGATGAAAAAGCGGATGAACAGTCTGATAAATCAGTTGGTGATTCATCCACAGGGTCGTCGACCAAAAGCAAGAAGAAAGATAACTGGGAAGAACTAATTGAGCGTCTATTTGAGAAGGATGAGTCAGGTCATATGATTCTGAAGAAACCACAGTGATAAGCAAGCAATGTTGTAACTTAAGCATCCTATATGAGTAGTGATACTTGGATCATCATTCTTTAATTAAACCTATAATTCTTTTCCTCAACTTACACTTTTTTTTGTGTGTGCGTGTCAGCCAGTGGCTTGTATCAATGGATTTAGAGAAACTTTCAGAATATATGCTAAAATGGATGTATTTATTGGTCCTTTTTTATGTAAGATTAATGTGTTAAAGATTCTTTTCAGGGGGCTGCTAAGTAGGAGTAATAGAGAGCATAAGGTGTTTATTGTTCGTCATCCAGTGTTACACCTGATGATGTCCATCTCATTGAAGAAGTATTAGGCATGTGCCTAATAAGAGTTTTCTTTGGTTTGGTAGCCAACCTTGTTGACTTGGTTTGGTTGGTAGCCAACCTTGTTGAATTTCTTTGGTTTGGTAGCCAACTTTGTTGAATTGTGAAAAATGTGTGTAAATTGTCAAATATTGTAGGCTTTAGAGGGTGAAGCTTTGGCTATAAAAGGAGAGCTTCAACTCTCATTTCTTCACACCAACAAAGAGAGAAAGAAAGAGTGAGGTTTCACAGACAAGGTATAAGAAAATAGTCTGTGAGGAAAATAGAGAGTGAGCGATATTGTAGTGAGGTGGGAATATCAAAAGAGGGTTATTTCTTTTGAGTGTTGTAGTGGTCTTTGGAGTATTTACCTCCGACCTACAAAGTGTAAAATTCCTTACTATAGTGATATCAGTTGCTCCTCTCGGGGTCGTGGTTTTTTTCCCTTATTCAGAAGGGTTTTCCACGTAAAAATCTTGGTGTCATTGTTACTCTTTTATTCTTGTTAATTACCGTATCTCGGTGCTACATTATTATTCCGCTTTATTACCGTGAATATTATTTTGGTAAGGGGTTTATTCCCAACAACACCAGCTTCAAACAAAGATACATCATTTCAGGTTTTTTGAGATGCATCTTTTTGCTTCAAGAGAGGATATGTAAGTTCTGCAAAGAAATTCTCCAGACTATATTGGCCATTTATTCTATTATAAAACAATCTTAAGAAAGGTATTTCGTAATGTTACTGAAATTCTCTGGTAAAGTAAGTTATAAAGAGGCTAAATGAAATTATATGTAGCTTTAAGAAAAAAAGATCCGTTTGAAAAGGTGCAATGTCCCCATGTGACCTAGTGGTTGTGAAGTGGATTGAGAATTATGAGCTCTTAAGTTCAAATTTCAGCGGAGGCAAAAATATTAGTTAACTTGTTCTTATATGTTTAAATCTTGGTAGACAAGTTATTCGGTATTGGTGCTAGTCGGAGGTAACAAATACATCGTGACATTAGTTGAGGCAGGGCATACATTTGCAACAAAGGAGCAACCCTCTACCAATAATGTCAACAACAACAAATTCTCTTAAGTCTTACCCTTATGGTGAATGTTGTGGTGCAGTGCGTATCTTAAACTAAAGTATTTAGGGCAAAACAAAAAATTGGCTGATTGGTCGAAACTAACTGCATTCCTTAGCCAAAAAGCATATAAAATATGCATTTTTTTGTGTATATGTGTATTCTATAATTAAAAAAATATATTTTATCGGCTATTAATTTTTAGAGCGGCAACAAATAAATATTTTTCAAGCATAAATAAAAGAATTGGCTGATTAGCCGTAACTAATTGTATTCCTTAGCCAAAAAGCATATAAATATGCATATTTTTTGTGTATTATATAAAAAATATATATTTTATCAGTTATTATTTTTTAGAGCGGCTACAAATAAATATTAATATTCATTAATCATAGCATTATGACATGCGTTATTTTTATGAACTTGCAATTTGTTTTCAACTATTTGAGAAAATTAGAAACCAAAACAGAGGAGAGATTATGGTTTCTCCCAAAAAATAAGGGAAAAGAAATTAAGTCTAAAGTTTAGGCTGTTACTGGCAGCTTGCTATATAGTCATCATTTTGCCACGTATTGAAGGCTGCACGGAGTTTCATGGAGTGATTTAGCGAACTCTGCGTTTCCCCCAAAAAAGAAAGCCCTCACTTTCCCATTTTCTCTGGTTCAGCAATGGCGAGCTTTCTTTGGGTTTTTATCTTCTTGGCTTTGGGGATCAATTCCCAGCTTCTTTTCGCCCAAAAGTCAGTCATAAATTATTCTACTTTTCCTGCATTTTTAGCTCATTATCTTTGATTTCTCTTCTTCTTTAATAATTACTTTCATTATTCTGAACACAAACCTCTCCTGATCTGAATTATGATATAGCATTATCTTTCTTTTTTTCCCTTTGGGTATTCGTAGTTATTCATGTATTTAAGGTTACTTAGCATGTTGTATATTTAATAATTATAACGTAGTCGCACTTGAATCCAAGCCCAGATTCCTATGGGGTTCTGAACAAAATCTATGGGTCTATCAAAAATACTGATTTTTATTATGGGGAGTTTGGAAAAGAACCTGATTTATCATATTATCCTGTACTTGTGGTTTTGCGAGAGAGAAAACAATTTTCGACTGTACGGTAGAAGGTGTATTAATTGCTCAGTTAGTTGTAAGCTGCAAAAGCTTAAATTTAAGAAGAATTGTAATAAGCACAAGTTTTGTTGTGATTTTCGTAAATGGTGCTTTATATGATTACGACAATTTGTTTCAGAAGCCGAAAAGAATTGAGGGGCAAGGAGGTAAATGGGGATGACATTGTAAAGTTGGGCCATTCAAATAGATTTGATCCCTCACAAGTCGTTCAGCTCTCGTGGCGACCAAGGTCAGGTAGTCCATTCAATCATTAACCTTGTTGCTTCTTCAATGTGTTGTGGCATGCAAAGAAATTTCACGAGCTCAAAATTCTGGGGTATAATTGATTACACCCCAAAAGAAGAAGAGTTTTCTTTGTTACGTTGGTGTATTGAAAGCATGTTTGTTTGGCGTCCTGGTTTTTTTATGAGATTACTTGAATAATTCTCTGTATGGAGGAATAATGAACATTTTTTCTTGAAATAGGGTCTTCTTGTATAGAGACTTTCTCTCAGCAGAAGAGACTGATCACTTAATCTCCTTGGTAAATCAGTGCCTCACAACTTGTAGTGCAATTCTTTTTTGGCTTAGAAAGTTCTTTTTCTAAAATGTATGTTGATGCGGTCGCATTTGTGTAGGTGCATGGCAAGAGAAATAGCTCCACAAGCGATAACGCTTCATTGGATGCAGAGAAGTTCCCAACCATGGGTATTCCCTTAGATGCGGAGGTAAGTTCTTTGTTATCTACACGGTGCCTTATATGAACAAATGTTTCTTCGGAGCATACATGTGACATTTGTATTTTAGACCATCTCTCTACACCTAAAATACACTATTTTATGTGGAAAGCTTTAACCTTGTAAACTGAAGATATTAGTTATAATGCATTAGTGTTTTATAAATACTGCTTACCATGATAGTGGACGGGCACGCTCACCAGCTTTGCTGGCAGAGAAAGCAACTCATGTTGATTTAAACTCCGTACTCATAACATGTAAAAATGCAAGGTGAGGCTGCCTGCATAAGAACCAATGTGGTCGGCTCTTCCCCCGATCCCGCACGTAGAGGGAGCTTATTACATCAGCCCTTGAACTTAGTACTTATAACATGTTCCTTGACACCATTCTGTAGGATCCTACTTCCTCAAGGATTGAAGAAAGGATCTCGGCTTGGACCTTTCTGCCTAAAGGTATTTTCTATTACCAGACAAATTAAGTTCCATTTTTTTCTTTCTAGGTACCCCTCCTATTAAAGGTTTTTGAGTCTACCTTCTCTGTGTTCTGTGACTGACACAATCATCCTTGCCTTTAGGAAACAGCAGGCCGTTGCATGTTCAGCGTTCTGGGCGTGAGAATTTAAAGGGGAATTATGGTTATTTTGACGGGAACTCCGCACTTAAATCCAAAGAACCATTAATGGCAACTGTCATTTTGTACCTATCAAATGTGACGCAAGGTGGTCAGATCCTCTTCCCTGAGTCGAAGGTAAAAGAGAGTGCTTTGTTGTTCTTATTTTCATAATGTCATCTTTGCTGTTTGTGCTTTTAATCTGATTTATTAAAACTCATTGGTGCAGAATAAGATTTTCTCCGACTGTATGAAGAGTAGTGACACCTTGAAACCAACGAAAGGAAATGCAATCCTGTTCTTCAATGCCCACCTTGATGCATCTCCTGACAGGAGGAGTTCCCATGCAAGATGCCCTGTTATTGAGGGTGAAATGTGGTATGCAATCAAATTCTTTTATCTGAGAAGTACTACTGTGCAAAAGGATCCACTGCAATCAGATGATGACACCAATTGTACAGATGAAGATGATAACTGTGCTCAATGGGCTGCTACTGGAGAGTGTGAAAGAAATGCTGTTTTTATGGTTGGTTCTCCTGATTATTATGGTACATGTAGGAAAAGTTGTAACGCATGCTAATTCTTCATGTAATTTTATATGTACCTTTACTGGTTTTGTTTTTGACAAAAAACTTCTGATTATATTGTCAGGACTAACTCTTTTCTGTTTTCTTTTTGCCAACTATTGTGTAAACATGGCATACAAATAGACTATTGGCGCTTTGCTGCTGAATCTTAAACCTTAAATTACAGAAAATTTGGCGGCGATAAATCTTGCTCTTTTCCCCTGCAATGATCATTGACATTCTCTCATTTCTAATAACAAGTCCCTTAACTCGGGTGGCAATTTGAGCCCAAATCTATTTGATCCACCCAAGTTGTCCAAGGTTGGGTCGGTGATTGACCCACCTATTTGTTGAATTTTAGTCAATTTTGGCCCAACTCATCGCACATCATTTAAAGTTGGATTGATTTTTAGTCCACATTGATCTAAAAGTAACTTTGATAAAGTAAATACTTTGTTTTTGTTTTATATGTTATATATGATGATAACAAAAGAAAAAAAAAAGTCTTATTTGAGAATTAAATAATTCATAAGAAAACAACACACGCTTGATAAGAGTTGGACAAGTTGGATTATGACCCAAAATTTAACATATCCCGACCTAGTCCATCTTAGCCCAAGTAACTTTTGGACGGGTCAACCTGCCCAAAATCAGCCAAATCCGCCCATTTAACACCCTTGCCCTTAGAAAATAAGAAGTCCCTTAGGTGCCAACGAACTAATAAAAAAAAAGTCCCTTGCTGCCAATGAACTTATTAAATAAAATAAAAAGTCTCTTATCTGAATGAGGAGACAATTTTGCCTAAATCCCTTGGTTGACTAATTATATTCCCAATCATTTGGTGTTCTGGTAGGCTTTTTTTTTCTTTTTCTTTTCTCTTCCAAGTTTAGATGTTTCATTTCCAGCTAAGTTGATAAGGCCTTTTTCCTTTTAAATAACCTCCATTAGAATATGCATTCAGGATGTCTTTGGTGACCTCTAGATAGTGCAAAAGGTCAAACTTAAACCAGTTGTCACCAGGCAGAGTGGAAGCAAACTCATATGCCGCAAAATTGGGGAAAGAAAAAAGAAGAAAAATACCATACATTAGATAGAATTCAAAATTTTAGATTTTTGTGGCAGAGTTATCGGTACCTATGCCAGGATGTAGTAAGTATGCAGGAAAAAAATTATATACCTATGCTACGAAGTAGTAAGCATACAACAACAACAAAAAAAATCCAGTATATTCCCACAAGTGGGGTTGCGAGGATAGTGTGTACGCAGACCTTACTCTTACCTAATGAAAGTAGAGAGATTGTTTCCAAATAGTAAGCATGCAGTAAAAAATATAAAATACACGCAAGTTACACCGAACAATACTTGAAAAAAAGAGAGTAAATAATAACTTGAGGCTTTGAGGAGGAGAAGGACAAATTCAGCTGCCAATATAGTAAAAATGTTTTTTACCTCACTTATCAAAATAAAATATTGTTATCACCTGGAGACACATCAATGGGAAGAAGAGAATGCTATAATAAAGATAGTAATTATTTACCTGCGAAATGTTTTACTGTGAAACCAACTTTCTCAAACTTGCCTTTCTCATTGCTTTCTCTAAACTTCAAATAATCAGCACAAACAAAAGGCTTATAGACCCTCAAATTTTCACTACGAACAATCTCTTTCGGGGCAACAATCAGTTTCTCATCTTCAAAACACCAAAAGAAAGCGATGGAAAATCGACTTACAGGCTCTTTTAGGACAACTCTGTGCTCAGATGATCTCAATTTCCCATTACTCCAAGCCTGCAAAAGATCACCAACATTCACAACAAGAGTGTCTTGACAAGGATCAATATCCATCCACTTGCCTTCTTTGGATCTAACTTGAAGACCACCAACTTCATCTTGATACACTATTGTTATGCAGCTCATATCAGTGTGCATGCCTAGCCCTTCAACTTCTTCTTCCTCTTGTACATTTGTCGTGAATTCGGGTGGAGTGTAGTTGTTTACTCTTAGATAGCCATGACAATTCTTGAATTCAGATGCAAATTTCTGCTCAAATTCAGGGCCTAAGCTCATCAGTATGACCTCAACAATGCTTTTGGACAGTTTCTCCATTTTGCTCCCATACTCCTCCATTGCATGACTAGGGGACATAAGAAAACAATGAAAGCTAAATTGTTGCCAGAGAAACAAACCATGTGACAAATGATCTTAAAGTAGTTTGTGATGTATTCAAGAGAAGAAAAAGATTCTTCTGGACCATAAAGCACAATAAATAAAAATGTAGCGTTAAGTGCATTTTATGGTGTGGCCTAGCGGTCAATAAAGCAGAGGAAAACCAAGGGTCCAATCCAAGCAGAGACAGACCCATCTGCCACAACTTTAATGGAAAAAGTTACTCGGTACTGTGCTAGTGAAAGATAGCAGGTATCGGATGAATAGTCGAGATGCATGTCAGCTAGCCTAGCACCACATTATAAACAAAATAAAATAAAATAAAAGATGTAGTATTAAGTTATTTTTTTTGTTTTACCTGAACTCGTGAATTGGCTGGTTGATCAGTGCTTGGCAAGTGCTTTGCACAGAGGCAAAGAAGTCAGGTCCAGAAACCCTCAGGCTCTCAAAGAAAGGGGATGCAATGAAATGGGGAGTGTAGGTTCTTATATTTGATAAGGGTCCAGCTTTCAGCTTTACATCAGAAGGAAAACTGAAAATCTGGTTAGAAACGAAATGAAGTTGTCTACATAAATCTTTGGGAATTCCATGGTTGCGGATGTGAAAGAAACCCCATTCTTTACAAGCTAAAGAAAGGGACTTAAGGGAAGATGAACTAAAAGGCCTCGAGATATCGAAAATGGGAAGTTTCACAGAATTCTGAGATTCAGACATGCTCAACAAGTAATGATCAGCAGATCGATATATTAGTTTCTTCAGTTGGAAAGAGTACCAGGACTAAGGTTTAACCTTACAAAAGAAATGGATGCATCCTTCAGTTAACTGTGTAGATAAACTTATGTAGTAGAATGAGTCACAAGAATCGCAATTAGGACAAAATAGATGTGAAAACTCCAGAGAAATGAAAATAAATAATTGTGCAGGATATAAAGAATGTTCACTTGAACTAAAAATTAGTACTAATATAAATTGCAAGCTACTAAGGACATCCACCAATTTATTAAGGTTTGACAATTTCTGTTTAGAGTTTGCCGACTTTTCTTCCCACTCCCTACAGCTCTCCTTTATTTTAACAAGGTCAATGAAAGTAGAGAATGAATTTAAGACGCTGTAAGCAATTAGGCAGCAGCGGGCACAAATGATGGAGGTGTGCTGGTCAAAACGGTTGTGCTGCTGGTTCTTAGAACGTATATCAAATCAAATAATTTAATCTAAAGAGTTATGTATAAATTAAAATAAGAACATTTTATTGGTTAACAGAGTATATTTATTAGTTTGGTAGGTTTTTCCGTGCTTTTAGAAACCCTATTTATAGATGTGAAGACTTGAGCAGGGGAGTCAAATGTTTCAGCCTCTCTCTATTTGTCGCTACTGCTTTTGACCTTGTTAATTTTTATAATATGGAGCGGACTCTGCAGTAAAACTTTTGGATGGGAGAGGGGCGCAAGTCTAATTCTACTGATTTGGCTTATTCTCTTACGTTCGTAAAAATTGTACGGGCTCCCCTATTTGGTCGCCCACATTTAACCTATACCCATTTCTTTAAAACTTTTAACTTATACCTACTTTTTAAACAACTCCAGGCCCCTTTCTCCTCGTCGAAGTTATATTCGCCTCTTCTTTCTCAAACTTCTCCTTCACCCTTTTCTGCAAGAAATCTATTACGGCTATGTATATAACTTGTATTCACACAACGTTTTTATCTAGGATTTCGTTTTCAAGAAATTAATAATCATTTTTAGAAAGAGCCTCTAGTACTTGGGATTTTTCCAACATAATTTGTGGAGAAACTTATTGTTATAGCCAGAAGCATAATTAAAGCAAGTAGAAAGCTAACCTTGTATATGTGAATTATATGTTTCTGTGTTCAGAAGAAAAAAAAATTTGTGTTGTCTGAATGTATAATAGAACTGTATAATGTATTTTCGAATATCAGTTGCTTAGCAATAAAAATGGCTCAGCAAAGCTGAGTGTGAGTTAGACGAAATGAGGTTGCTGCATTTAAAGCGGCCGATAACATAAAAAGCTGATTTTTCCAGAAAAAATTTCAGCTCTAATTACAAACAAAAATTTCAGCTCTAGAGCTGAAGCTTACAAACAAAAACTTCAGCTCCAGTTACAAACAAAAACTTCAGCTCTAGAGCTGAAGTTCGACAGTTACAAAACAAAAACTTCAGCAGCTGAAGTTCGCCAGTTACAAACAAAAACTTCAGCTCTAGAGCTGAAGTTCGACAGTTACAAAACAAAAACTTCAGCAGCTGAAGTTCGCCAGTTACAAACAAAAACTTCAGCTCTAGAGCTGAAGTTCGACAGTTACAAAACAAAAACTTCAGCAGCTGAAGTTCGCCAGTTACAAACAAAAACTTCAGCTCTAGAGCTGAAACTCGACAGTTACAAAACAAAAACTTCAGCTCTAGAGCTGAACTTCAAGCCCGGCTACTAGAATGCTGAAGTTTTGCTTGATTGCCTTTGCTACTTCAGCCCCGTATGCTGAAGTTATACGAAAAAGCGGTACGGTTGCAATTTTTTTTTGCAAAATGGGCACAAGTTAAAACGTGACACAAAAAGCGGGTATAGATGCAAATGCCCCCTACATTCATTACTCTGACAATTAAGCAAAGCATAATTTATATGCAACCGAGGACATTGTGCCTATTATTAAATTTAAAACCTAAAAGACTTGAAAGAGAAATAGGAAAAAACAAAAAGAGCTGGTCCTGGTAGCTCCCTTCCTTACCCTTGAAAGTTGGGGATTGGTCATGCATGATGACACATTCTATATTTATTCCTTTACTCCAGCAAGGAAACATGATTGACTTCGGTGGCATAATTTTTCAGGAAAATGATACTATAATCGTTCTCAAAATAATAACAAAAAAATATATATTTTTTGTGTATATATACATTATTTATGTTATATACAAAAAATATACAAATTTTATATATTTTTGCGACTATCGAATGTAAATAATTTCTGCCGCGAGCTAAAGTAATCTTTGCCCTAATTTTTTCTAAGATTTACATATATTTTGATCATATCCAAAGTTTCTGCATCTTCAGAGGAAAATAGAGACCATTTTTTCTGGCAACTTATCAAGGAACTGAGGCACTTAATAGAAGGGGCGGAGCTAGATTGCCACCAACGGTTCGGCCGAACTCAGTAACTTTGATTCAAACCTTGTATTTGTCTTAAAAAATCCATTAAATATGTATAAATTATTAATTTAGAACTTAGTAATTTAAAACGATTCGAATTCCGAACCCATAAGCTTGAAATCCTAATTCCGCCTCTGCTTAATAGACAAATATGCTTTTGTAAATGACACTTCACATATGACAAGTAAGACAATAACATGCTAAAGGCATGCAAAATCTGTAATTGGGCGCCCATCCAACACCACTTGCTTTCCTCATTATTTTCTTCTCTTTCTACTTACCAAAAAGCACATATTTCTGGAATCACATGTTCAGGTTAAAGCCGAAGAAATTACATAGATTAGAAGACTATAGACTAGTTGTGCAATGTTACAAAAAATGCAGTGACTTGAACTTGAATCTTCTTTTTGGCTTTATTACTGCTAACAGCAGAAGATAGGGCTTCGGTCTTCCAATCTTCATTCGAGTTGCTTATCTGAGGTCCTCTACAACTGCAAAAGGAAGGTAAAATGATTATATGCATTTGAATACTCTATTACATGAAAGCATTTTTCTTAAATATAGATCACTTGTCAATTTTATATTGCCTTTCTGCATGCCAATCTTTTTAACAAGTAAAGTAATCATTTTTCTACATAAAGGGGATAAAGTGAAATCAGTTGCAATGTGAAGTGAGATTTAAGTGTAAATTACACTCTCATTTTTAGAAATACATGCAAGTGAATAGTTTTGTCAAATACACAAATGCTCCAAGATCATAGTTTTAATGACACCAGCGGCAGCTATCCAAACGGAAATAAAGAAAAACCATATAAAATTAAAGAAAACCACTAAACCCTGGCAGCTGAACCCAGAAAGATTCCAATCTGCTTAGGTAAGAGAACAAGAAAAATACTGGACATACGAAAGCTAGCTAAATTACTTTTGGCCGTAAGTGAGCTGAAGTAGCAAACAAATCCAAGCCAATTGGGGTTTTGTGATACTTTACGTTTCTCATTTTTGCTCCATAGATCGTTACTTTCCATGGATGAAATTTAATAGACACCAAAATTCAGATATTGAACTTCAACAAGCCTCCAACTGTCCACAGATCTATGCTTAATGGACTTTTCTGTTGAAGACAAAATTACCTTGTGATGCATGCAACACTTGCAGCTATGGACAATTCCCATCTGGTATACACATGGCAATTAGTGTATTATATTACTGGGTATGGGACTATATCGAGTTGAGTGAATCATCTCATCTAAAAGTTTAAACTATTAGAAAGAGAATTGAAAAATGAATATCTTTCGTCACTTTCATTCAATAGGCTTTTCCTTTTTATACCTTACTTACCTCGACAGTTATTTATTTGTTTATTTAGGTCAACAACGTGCCCCCTTCACAAGGCCTGTTTTTTTAATTTATGTGGACCAACCACGTGAAGTATTTCGTCGATGGGTGGTGGTAAGACTCGAGTTCTTGACCTACTCTGATCTGATATCATATTTGCCTGAACCGCCATCTAAAAGCCCAAAGTGTTGTTAAGGGATATATCATTTATTCAGGTCCTCAATAATGTCCCCACTTGAAAGTTAAGAGTAAGCAGCGTTTTCTGTCCCCAAATTGCCATTAAATATCCATAAATCCAACAAAGATGCATGCATCTTACACCCAAGTCCATGTGACATTATACAGGATAGTGGCTATAAATTATAAGAAACAGCATTGAGAAGCATCAAGGACTAAACCTGCAGCAATTATTGAACTTATCTGACAGTCATCAGAAACTCCCACCCCAAGTTGGAAAGTTACTACTTACTAGTGCATCTAACTAGTAATCCAATTTTGAAGTCACTATTCTAAGCAGCAGCTTCTATGAAAGTTCCTTCACAAAAAATTGAGCATACATATTACATTATACAGGATAGTGACTATAATTTATAAGGAGCAGCATTGAGAAGCCTCAAGGACTAAACCTGCAGCAATTTTTGAACTTATCTGACAGTCATCACTCATCAGAAACTCCCCACCCAAGTTGGAAAGTTACTGTAACAGTGTAACAGCCCAGCCTGTTAGTGATATTGTCCGTTGTGAGCCTAGGCCCTCACGGATTTAAAACGCACCACTAGGGTCTAAGTCTTGTTAGCCTATATACCCAGCATCCCTCTTGTGTTTTGCCGATGTGGGACTTTGTCTAAAGGGGTATTACAGGTACTAGTGCATCTAACTAGTAATCCAATTTTGAAGTCACTATTCTAAGCAGCAGCTTCTGTGAAAGTTCCCTTTACAAAAAGTTGAGCATGCATATTACATTGATCGAATTACCTATCGCAGACAAGGATCGAGCAAACATTACTCTGTAAACCAGATACCCCTCCACGTCAAATTTCCAAAGCACGTCTTTTTACTTGATTTTCATTCACAATAACAACCATAATTTTAGCTTTATAAACTGGGAATCTAGGTACTCGGAAAACAATTACTCATGGATAAGCCAATAAAACACCATGGTAATATAACACCTAACCCTTGACAATATCTATGAGCAAACAAAACAATTGCACCCCTCCACTTTTGTTTCATTAAGATTGCGAATTTCTGAATGGGTTAATATTTTTGAATCATAAATGACTAATCAGCAACTGAGAATATTTTGCTGGACCTACCACTTTAGACTAACAATGTTAGTTTACACCCTGAGCAAGATTGATCAAGCCTCTGAAAATCTTGTTCCTTTCTTTCCAAAAAGTAAATCTTGTTGGAAACTTATATTAGAGCCTTATAAAAGCATTCAAGTCATAGACCAACATGTGTTGGCACTTGGCAGATAGTGGTGTAGCCAAGTGTATTGAAGGCTTCGTCGAAAAGTTACACTGTGCAAATAGGGCAACAACAATTTTTGTATATATGTATAATAAATGTTGAATCCACTTGATAGCTAAGTACCTTCACACACTGTGCAAGTTTTGCATTTTTTTAGTCCCCTTGTTACAATTCCTTGTTCCACCACTGTTGGCAAAGCCAAGGATTACAACTAGACTCGATTCCAAACATCCCCAAAGTACTAAAAAAAAGTCTCTCTTTCCCAAGCAAAAACCTGAGGCATTGATCTTTACGAAATAAACTAACCATTATGTCTACAAGAACAGATGCTTTCATGTCAGCTCCATCCATAGGCATAAACACTTACGGAAACAGCAATTGGAATTGAAAAACTCTTCTTTCACAGTGAACGAAACCTTCACTATTTGCCCAAAACAGTATTTAAAAAAAAGCTCAATTTTTCATAGAAAACCAATCTGTTTTGCGTTCAAGCTTGTAACTTACTTTATCAACGACAAAGAATAAGCTTTTCCAATAGTGTATAGCTAATAATTACCAAAAAAACTAACATTATAACGAACGAAGTAGTTAAAAAGAGCTGTCGACATCAAATTTCAAGAAGTTATAATCATAGGATCAGAATCCGAACCGGAGCTGAGCTTTGGGGGATATTCCGAAGAAGAATTAGGGTTGTTGATAGAGCAAGATGACTTAAAAGCTTCAATATGAGACTGGCATTTCAAATAGTCGCCTTTATTTTCTTCCAAACATTTCTTCAGAGCCTCCACATCGCATGCTTTCTTCTTCACACTCTTGTTTTCCTTCTCCGTTTTCCCCTCCGTTTTTCTTTGTATTTCCACAAAAAGATTTGGAATAAAAAGAAAAAATAAAAAGGTTTATACTCCAGGAAAAAGAAAAGAAAAAAGGATGGACAATTGGACTGGACTCCTCTTTGGAATGGGGGGCAAGTGCACAAATACCCATTCCTAGGGATGCTATTTAGAGATTAATTCGTGCTTATTTTCTCCTGAAATTTTAAATTAAAAATCTTAACTTCATGACGATTCTGTCCTGACGATTTGAACTGAAAAACTAATTCATAATGCATTGGCTTATTCCTAAATAACAGCCTTTTACAGTGGCTACCTGATGTCATTTATACTTGGAATGTGTTGGACTGAACCTTTGATGTAATTCGGAACCAGCGCTAAAAATTTAGAGCAAAATACAAAATTGACCCATCGATCGAAATTAATTGCATTCATTAGTCAAAATATATAAAATATAGTATATTTTTTTGTATATATTTCGATCGATTGCTCAATTTTATATTTTAAAAATATAAATTTCTCAAAAATTTAAAAGAGCCCTTCATTTAAGAACTTCGTAATGAGATTACACTAGACAAAATACATAGTTTACCCATTGACCTTACACTCAAATCCCTGTTATACACCTCTCTATCACGAGCAACATTTTAAACACCCGACCTTTTAGAAGTGTGTCAATGACACACCACTTCTATGTTTGACCATTTTTTCTAAATATGTGTGTATCACGCATGAATAAGGTTGTGACACGTGTCACTAACATAAAAGTAGAAAAATAAAAAGAATTCATCCAAGTTTTATTTAAAAAATAAAGAAAAAGAAAATGACTGCCCACCCAACTCAGTGGATTCTCCACTCCGGCCACCAATGTTGAGAGCAATCTTTGTATAATAATTTAACATTTTTCTACAAATGCACCAGATTTCAATTCCACAAATTCATTAGGTTTTAAATTATGGCTACAAAAGAATTTTATTTTTTTAGAAAAACTAAATTAGCTGTCTGCTCCCCCATCTCTCCGGCAGATCATCGCAGGTGACCACCCCACCACCATAGCTGGCACCACTCATCATATCACCTCCACATCCATTGAACCGACAACTTAAAATTATAATACGATTTTTTTTACACTGGTTCGAATTTTGACAAACCCAGCAGCTGATTCAAAAATCCAAGAATAACTTTAAAATCAATTTCACAATAGCAACAAAAATTTAATTTAGTAAACAAGCTCAACAATTCGGTCCAAACAATTTCCAACATTATTGCTAGATTTCTCCGCCCAAACACCAATTCGAAAACTCAAGAAACCCCCAACAATGGAGGTTCGAAACTTTCTCCTCCCAAATGACGATTTAAAAATTCGACACTGCCCCAAATCGTCCAAATTTCTGAATGGAAAAGGAAAAGATAGAGAAGATGACTAAATTACCTTATTTGATTGGATTTTATCTTCTTTATGGTGAAGTTGTCCGCGAATTCAGATCAGATGGTCTTTTCCTTTTCTTCTCTTGTTTTTTCTTTATTTTTATGTTTGTTTTTTAAAATAATTTCCATTTTGGTTTAATTTTTGACAGATGGCACTTAAATAAGATTTTGGACAAAAGATTTACCTTTCTCACGCTCTTATTTTTTGTGTTAAACACGCACATGCTAGCTAAGCAAAATGGTGTGTCATTGACACACTTCTAAAAGGTTGGGTGTATAAAAGGTTGCCCGTGGTAGAGAAGTGTGTAACAGGGATTTGGGTGGAAGGTCAATGGGTAAATTATGTATTTTGCCATTATACTACGAGAAATACTTACTGATCATTGTACCAAATTAAATAATATTACTATCTGAGTTACATATTAAACAAAAATATATACAATATCATTTAATTATGTTTAATCGATATAAAAAGTGCATATCTTGTTTTCATTAGTTTGACGCAAATATGAATTTCGTACATTTTTTGTGGTTTTACCCTCTCAATACCAAAATGCACTTGAAAGTTCAATATTCCATAAGTAATGAAATGGATTAAATCCATGAATCCATTCTACTCATTTTAACTAAAAATATAATAGAGTGTAAAATCTCTAATATATTACTCCATCTGTTTCAATTTATGTGAAACCGGCCATGGAGTTTAAGAAAAGAGAGAAGACTTTTGAATTTGTGGTGTAAAATGAGGCACAATATTTTGTGTGGCTATAAATCATTGCATAAATGTAATTGTTTCCAAATAAGAAAAGAGGTCATTCTTTTTGGCACGAACTAAAAAGGAAATATATTCATATAAATTGAAACGGAGGGATTAATAATTTAAAATAATTACCGACAGTAGCAATTATCTATATCTATACTATATTAAAAGCACGAAACCCTTGTTGAAATGTCGTTCGCCTTCTTTACCCTTTAAAAATAGGTTTTATATTGGACAAAATTGTAATTATGATTTAATTATTTTTCTAGTATTTAGGAATTTCAAATCAACTAAAATATTAGTTTTTTTTTTGGTAGGAAAGATAAGTAACATAAATTAAAACATGTGTACAGGGTTTTGATGCTCATGCATCATATTACAAGTGCTAGTGTTAGCTATATTATTAGGTATAATATCCGTACATGCATAACTATGTGAGGTATCGCCTCTAGTAATGTCAACGATCCTCCAAAGTAGTATGGACTGCATTTTTACTAGATATTAAATCTTTTCTTATTTGAAGTATGTAAAATTTCTAATATTTAGGAACTTAATTTACCTAAAGAAATTTATATCTTTAGAATTCTGATCCTAACTAAATAAATATCCAAGAGCAGACACTATCCATGTATTTTCATTCTTCCTAATTTTTCTTTTAATAAGAATATTAATTTTATATCATTAAATTCGTATTCGGATTAAATAGACTATCCAACATCGAATGTTAGGTTCATGCATGTATTTTCATACTCTCTTCCTATTTTTTTTTAATAACTATAACAAAAATTATTATTGTTATTAATATTACTAGAATATTAAAAGTACACTGATCAATAATTCGAACAAATTACTAACAAGATATTTAAGAATACAATAGAAAGAGAGAATGACAAAGGAAGAAAAGTGATTGATTAGAGGCAATAACACTAATGATTTTACAAACACAAATCTCCAAAAGTGAAAATCACGTCGATCTTTTTTTACGTTTTGATAATTATTTTTTTATGCTTTAATTCTCATTCGATAAAATTATAATGACAATTAAATATTTAAATTATGGATGAGCTAATATGAAGAACTTGACGCAATACACACGTGCAACGCAGGCACACTAAAGCAAATTTCATTTAAATAAAGTGAATACATGTATTATGCAGCATAGAATAATGTCCTTCGTGATACTTTAGAATTACTAAATACAAATTACTACTATTACTTTTATTCGGTGCTAAAAAAAATAATGTATCCTTATATAAAATGAAATGGAGGAATATTACTTCAGTAAACAAACGTCTTAAGATTTACAAACAAAAAAAACTACTAGGTCTAGCGGTATATATATTTTTTATTTTACATTATGACTGTTATGAAATAAAAGCAATTTAGTAAAGCATGAACAAGAAATAAAAGCAATTTAGTAAAGTATGAACAAGAAATAAAAGCAACTTAGTAAAACATGAACAAGAATAGAGATAGAGAGAAGGAAGAGATTTTCTTCTTCAATTGTGTGTATTTTCCTATCTATTACAAAGCCTTTATATAGGCATGAAAAGTGAAGAAAATATGTCATGGAATATGTCATTGAACATAGAAAATATGTTATTGAATATGTCATTAACCATTTGAGAGAAAGATCATGGAGGAAGATAGACATCCACCATATTTTGATTTTTATCATAATACTCCCCCTTGGATGTCCATAAATAATGTGCCTCGTTAAAACCTTATTAGAAAAAAACCCTATGAGAAAAAAAAATCCTAATGAAGGAAAAAGAGTACACATATTTAGAAATACGCCTTTTGGTTGCCTCGTTAAAAACCTTGCAAGGAAAACCCAATGGGACAAAACCTTGTAAGGGAAAAAGAGTACAACGCGTATTAACTCCCCATGATGAGATCATCAGTTCACATCGTTGAGCCTTCGTATCCCAATCTTGTACACTAGTTTCTTGAAGGTTGACGCCGGTAGATATTTGGTGAACAAATCAGCCATATTATCACTTGAACGGATCCGTTGCACATTAATATCACCATTCTTTTGAAGATCATGTGTGAACAATAATTTAGGTGAAATGTGCTTTGTCCTAACTCCTTTATGAATCCTCCCTTTAATTGGGCTATGCATGTTGTATTTTCTTCATACAAAACTGTGGGTAGTTTATCACACTTCAAACCACATTTGTCTCGAATAAGATGTATAGTAGACCTCAACCATACACATTCTCGACTTGCTTCATGAATAGCAATTATCTCAGCATGATTAGAAGAAGTAGCCACGATTGATTGCTTAGTCGATCGCCAAGATATGACAGTGCCACACATGTAAACACATAACATGTTTGAGATCAAGCCTTGTGTGTGTCAGATAAATACTCCACATCGACATAACCAACAAGATCGGTATTGCAATCATTGCCATAAAATAAGCTCACATCGGTAATCCCCCTTAGATAAAGCAATATGTGCTTGATTTTATTCCAATTTCTCCTTGAGCGGAGCTATATCTTGTTAAGACATTAACTGAAAAAGTTATGTCATGCCTTGTAGTGTTAGCAAGATATATTAGCGCACCAATTGCATTAAGATATGGTACTTTAGGACCAAGAAGCTCTTCATTATTTTCATGAGGTCGGAGTGGATCTTTATTTATATCGAGTAATCTCACAACCATCGGGGTACTTAATGGATGTGCTTTATCCACATAGAAGCTCTTTAATTTTTTTTTTAGTGTATGCTGATTGAAGGACAAAAATTCTATCTTTCATATATTCAATTTGTAGACCAAGACAAAATTTTGTCTTTCAAAGATCTTTCATTTTAAATTCTTTCTTTAAACAGCCTACTGCTTTAGGAAGCTCTCCGGGAGTTCTAATGATATTTAAATTATCAACATACATGGCGATTAAATTCAAATCCATATCCTTTTATAAGGACACAAGGACAAATTGAATTATTCTTATACCCTTTTTTCAACAAGTACTCTCTCGGGTGATTATATCACATGCGCCCTGATTATTTCAATCCGTATAAGGATTTTTGAAGCTTTATTTAATAAATTTCT